ACACAATCTATTGTATAATTCTTAATATACATATAATCTACTATATGAGTGTCAATTTATACATATATTCTACACATAGTAGAATATATTTATGTTAAGGAATCATACAGTAGATTATATGTTTAATATTGAGAATCGGTATAGTAGATTATATCTGTTTATTGAGATCCATACAGCTATAAAATTTGTTTATGTACATAATAATGTCTTATCCTTTTATTATTTAAAACCCCTTTTTTATTTATAGATAAGTGGAAGTGGGAGAAGTAATCAACAAACATGGAATCTATGGAATCATCTTTAAATTTCGTAAATATTGTGTCATTATTGACATACTCATCAATATATAATCGCAAACAGTCCTTTCTTTTAATTACTAATTTACATAAGTGTTCCCGTAAAGGCTATATAGACAAATTATCTGAACAGGGGTTCTACTTTGATTGGATGAGGAAAGGAACTAAAGCTGGTAGATTTAATATTGTATGTTTCCATTGTCATAGACGATGGAAATGTATGGTAAAAAATAAAGTAGAACTATGGTCTACGAGAGTGTTTGATGAAATTGATGAGCACCAATGTGAAAAAAAAATATCAATAGATTATGAAAATACCAAACTAATAATTGCAATAATCATGCAATTTTGCAAACATGATGGAACATACTTGAAAAAATTCCGTAAAGAACGACCAACAATGAACATACGACAAAATCGTATGGATTCCTTTATAAGTCATTCTTGTTTCTTTACGAAAGATAAGTATTCTAAAATTTGCCCCAGCTTTTATTTGTATAATTGTGTGTATTCCCCCCCTACATTTAGATGTACATGTTGTTACTTTAGTGTACAATTACAATATTTAATGTCAAATGGCGACAATATTCCATACCTTCATAAACAATATTTAAAAGAGCAGCAAAATGAAATGGAACTCCCGGCAGATTTTTCATTAGAAGTTTATGGTAATAAAATAATTAAAAATAATTTCATAGATATCACAATTCCAAATTATTTCATACAGGATGATTGGATACATATAATACGGCAAATCTACTATACTGCTAATATATGTTTAACTAGAAATGATTTTTTAAATGATGTGCGGAATCTTAATAATTTTGTGGGACGACGACAAATCATGTTGGAGGAGGAGGAGGAGGAAACTGAAACGGAAAGAGCAGTAAATTTCCTTGTGGAAAATTTGAACACATCATCTCAAATTGTACCCCAAATAATTATTCAGCGGAAACATAATGGTAAAAAAATTCGGATGAACGCAGAAGAGTCCAATTCCCTAGTACCAGTAGAGAAAACTCCTCCTCTTCCTCTTCCTCCTCCTCCATCTCCTCCTCCTTCTCCTTCTCCTCCTCCTTCACCTTCTCCTCCTTCTCCTCCTCCTCCTCCTCTTCTTCCTCCTCCTCCTATTTTGGATATTGATACTGATAATCTTATTACTGGTATTGCTAATAATGTTACTGGTATTGCTAATGCTTCTATTGATAATTATGCTCCTAATCTCTCTACACCCTTTCCTTCTACCTCTACCACCTCTTCTATCTCTACCACTAAATCATCAACTAAAAGAAAAATTAAACAAGTAACACAAAAGGAGAAAAAAAAAACAAAAAAAAAACATGATGTCTACTTAAGATTAAAAGAAGTAGTAAAAGTAGTAAAAGAAATTTTTAGACTACCACAAATTCAACAACAAATGCCGCCACAATTTTCTTCTCAATTTTCTTTTCTATCGGCCTCAGTTCTTCCACAACCACCATTGGCCTCGGCCTCGGAACCGTCGACGGTTGTCCAACAGCCGGCGACGGCTATTGGACAATCGGCGCCGGTTGTTAAACCGCCGTCGATGCCATCGACTTCAGCAGCATTTACACCACCACCACTAACACCACCACCACAAATTCAACAACAAATGCCGCCACAATTTTCTTCTCTATCGGCCTCAGTTCTTCCACAACCACCATTGGCCTCGGCCTGGAAACCGTCGACGGTTGTCGAGTTCTTCCACAACCACCATTGGCCTCGGCCTGGAAACCGTCGACGGTTGTCCAACAGCCGGCGACGGCTATTGGACAATCGGCGCCGGTTGTTAAACCGCCGTCGATGCCATCGACTTCAGCAGCATTTACACCACCACCACACACCACAAATTCAACAACAAATGCCGCCACAATTTTCTTCTCTATCGGCCTCAGTTCTTCCACAACCACCATTGGCCTCGGCCTGGAAACCGTCGACGGTTGTCCAACAGCCGGCGACGGCTATTGGACAATCGGCGCCGGTTGTTAAACCGCCGTCGATGCCATCGACTTCAGCAGCATTTACACCACCACCACCACTTCCACCACCACAAATTCAACAACAAATGCCGCCACAATTTTCTTCTCTATCGGCCTCAGTTCTTCCACAACCACCATTGGCCTCGGCCTGGAAACCGTCGACGGTTGTCCAACAGCCGGCGACGGCCAATTGTCGACAGCCGGCCGTCGACACCATCGACCACGAAAATCGGCGCTCTACCAGCCTCACACCACAACAACCACCACAAATGCCGTCAACAACAAATGCCGCCACAATTTTCTTCTCTATCGGCCTCAGTTCTTCCACAACCACCATTGGCCTCGGCCTGGAAACCGTCGACGGTTGTCCAACAGCCGGCGACGGCTATTGGACAATCGGCGCCGGTAGTTAAACCGTCGTCGATGCCATCGACTTCAACAGCATTTACACCACCACCACCACTTCCACTACCACAAATTCAACAACAAATGCCGCCACAATTTTCTTCTCTATCGGCCTCAGTTCTTCCACAACCACCATTGGCCTCGGCCTGGAAACCGTCGACGGTTGTCCAACAGCCGGCGACGGCTATTGGACAATCGGCGCCGGTTGTTAAACCGTCGTCGATGCCATCGACTTCAACAGCATTTACACCACCACAAATTCAACAACAAATGCCGTCACAATTTTCTTCTCTATCGGCCTCAGTTCTTCAACCACCACAGTTGAACTCTTTGCCAATATTCATTCCACAAACAATGTCATCTCAACAACAACAACATTATTTACAATTACACCAACAACATCAAATGATCCAACAACATTTACAATTATACAACACCACTCCTTAAAACACCTCTCCCTTATGGGGGGATGAAGAACAACTGTTCTTCAAACTTGTAGAGGATGGAAATGGTGGTGGTGGTGGTTGGTGGTGGTGTTGGTGGTGGAGGTGGAGCAGTGGGAAATGGTGGTGGTGGAGGTGGAGCAGTGGGAAATAGTGGTTGTAGTGGTGGTGTTGTTGGTGGTATTGTTGGTGGTGGAGGTGGAGCAGTGGGAAATAGTGGTTGTGGTGGTGGTGGAGGAGCAGCAGTGGGTAATGGTGGTGATGGTGGTGAAGGTGTTGGTGGTGGAGATGGAGCAGTGGGAAATGGTGGTGGTGGTGGTGGAGGTGAAGGTGGTGGTGGTGGAGATGGAGCAGTGGGAAGTGGAGGAGGAGGAGGAGGAGGAGGAGGAGGAGGAGGAGGAGCAGGAGAAGGAGTTATCTATTCTCCTATAACTCCAATAAGTATGGAAACTTAAGTGTGAAATGTATATTTTTTGTTTTTATGTGAATAATTATATTATTAAATTATATTATTTTACAGATATATAATATAATCATCATTTAAAAGACAGTGTATCATGTATTTATATATATTTGATGATAGGCTAATATTTCTGGAAAATTGTCCTTAAATAATATTCTTAAAATATCATTAATACATATATTAGTATTGGGGTATCTATCTATAAAATTGGCTATACTGATAGCTTCATTATTATTTTCCTCATTATTTTTAATCTCATTTGTCTCCTCATGTGGTACAAAGTATGCAGCTGGTTTTGTACATTGAAGATATGTTGATGACATTTTTATATTATTTTTATATTTTATTAAATAAAAAATAAAAAGTTTAAGACTGACTTTCAATTAAATTTCCTGTAATTTTTTCTTTACATTTATAAAAAATAAGTTTAAATAATGGAAGGAATAAAAAACTCTACTACTATTAATCCTCTCAGTGGGAGTGGTGGTGGTGGTGGTGGTGGTGGTAGTGGTGGTAGTGTTGGTAGTGGTGGTGGTTCTACAAATATAGTAAATTCAACTACTTCTACTACTCTTAATAGTAGTATTAAACCACCCATTTCCACTACAACTCCAGTAATACCTCAACCTCAACAAGTGCAACCAATAGATACAAAGACACAAAATTTGTTAAATACACTTATGAGTGAGAGTTCAACTGCAAGCATTAAAGACCCTAGTCAGGCTTCATTAATTAATAAATGGTTAGCGGCATATATAAATAAAATTACTCAAAATCCATGTTCGTTTATTCATCCAACATTTAATACTATTGAATTGGAGAATCCACACTTAAAACGTATATATCAAATCCATAAAAGTGTGTATGAAAATAGTAATAAAAATGACAGCTCATTCTCTGCAATATGTAGCAGCTGTAGATATATAAAGTTGGGTCTGTTACTTGCCTCTCTTAAACGAAAAATTAAAAACTATACATGTATGCCAACTAATAATAATGAAGAAAATAACAATGAAATTGAATATGATTTAGGTTTATTCTTTAATGCGGTTAATACTGTTAATGCTGTTGAAACGACCAATTTCTTTCTGGGAGCTGTCGGTATCTTGAGTTCTCTGGTGGCCTTCTTCGGTGTAGAGTGTACCTCGGCTGTCACTCGTGTGAGGACCGGCGTGGCTTCCTCCACTGAGGTGGCTGGAGCTGTTGCGACTTGCCCGAGGACGCTCCCCATGAGTATTTGGAGCTGTGTAGGCTGGATCTTGTGGCCCAGTAGTCCGACTAGGCCCTCCACGAAGGTTGTCAGCACCTTGGCTAGGTCTGATACGTGTATCATTCCTTCTGGTGCCTTGGTGTGTGCTTCTTTTGTCTTGCTCGTGGTTGTCGTTGTCTGCTGCTTGGGTGGCTGAGGTGTGGCCGTAGTGAGGCCAGGAAACTGGGCTGCACTTTGGGTGTTGACCGGCTGAGGAGGTTGGCTTTGTTGTCTTAGCCTTTCGGTTCCCCACTCGAAGGTACCTGGTGGTGCTGGTGTGTAGGCGGTGGGGGCCGGTCTTGCTGCTGGCCGGTTTGCCTGGACCCTCCTTGTCCTCTCGGAGCATCCAGGGTTCCAGGCGTGGTGTTTGCCCCCGCAGTTGGCACACTTGGGGGCAATTTTTTCTCCATTTTTCAGCTTGGTGAGGCAGGAGTGTGTGCCGTGCTTCTGTGCGCAGACTGCGCAGATTTCCTTGTACGTGCACCTTGTCTGATGGTGCCCGTATTTCTGGCATCTGAAGCACCGCAGGGGCTCTGGGACGAAGGGCCTCACTTCGTAGATCCCCCAGGTTTTGAGGTCTATGGTGCTGGGGGGTGAGCCGTAGTGCGTTATGAGCACTTGTTTTGTGGTGGCCGTCTTGTCGGACAGGGGAGAGCATCTCTCGGCTTTTAAGATCTTCGGGTGGTTCTCCAGGGGTTCGAGAGGTAGTTCCTTTGGGTACCGGAGGACTACCGACTTCATCAGTTTCTGGGCGGGGTCCAGCTTGGTTGATGCAACGGTGGTGGTGTTTTGCAGGTAAGTGTCGAGGGTGGTGGCGGAGTCCTTGTCTTTGGGGTGAATAATCATCTCCCCCTTTAGGTTGGGCCGCACTGAGAACTTGGCCAGTGGAGGTGAGCTGGTGGTGGTGATGGGTGCCTTTTGGGCTGCTTGACGGCATTCGTTTCCCGAAGAAGCACGTCGGCGTTTTTTATTTTCTACCTTCGTCCAGTTGTCGTCCTCAGTGGCGGTAGCAGTGGTGGTGGAGTTGTTGGAGGTGGTGGCAGTGTTCCTACTTTTCAGGGCTTCATTGAAGGTGCGTAACTGGTCCGCTTTCTCTGTGCGGAGCCTGTCGTAGTTCGGGTCGTCAGGTTGGCGGTTCAGGCGGGGGTCGCGGTTAGGAGGGCGTACGCGCTCCATAACCGTTTTTTTTTTCTTTTTTTAAATCCTACCTATTCCGGTTGAGTAAGTAGCAGAGGAATTTCAGCACTCCCCACTGGCTGGTGGTCGTAGAGTGGTTCCTGAGCTTCTCTCCCGGAGCCCCGTTGGGGAAGCCTGCTTCCTAGTGTATGTGACTGCTCACTTATAGACGTGAGCTAAGTGTGCCTATTTGGGAAGGATAAGGATTGCTACCCTCTTTCCAGGTGGACCCGCACGATCACGGTTTTCCTGGAAAGACTCGGCTGGGATGGGTTTTGCTCCAACCCCCTTTCGTGTTCACAATCTCCTGGGAGGGAGGTGAACAGTTACAGGGGGGACCGCAGGACGAATACACTTTTTGAGGGTGCAGGTCCCTAGGCCAGAGCGAAAAAGGAAAAATAGCAGTAGAAGGAAAAGAGCTCAAACCACGCCGGGAATATCGCGCTATAACTGCTCTCCAGCTGGAGTGTGGGTCACTCACACCACCAGTGGGGAGGGCAAGCTAATGCTCGATAAACCGAAAAACGCTCGTGAGTTGTTGTGGACGATGACAGTCGTGGGTGGTCCGGTCCGGGAAGATGGCCAACAATGGCACCAGAGAGAGGGCGGTCTTCACAGTTTCGGGTCCTGCAGGAGGTTTTGTTGAGAGGTCTTCTTAGTTCAGGAGCGATGGTCCCCTACCATCATCACTATCACCACCACCATCACCACCACCAACACCACCATCATCATCACTATCACCACCACCATCACCACTCCACCAACACCACCATCAGCATCACCCCAGCTTCATCATCACCAACACCACCATCATCATCACTATCCCACCACCTCACCACTCACCAGCCCACCATCATCATCACTATCACCACCACCATCACCCTCACCAACACCACCATCATCATCACTATCACCACCACCATCACCACTCACCAACACCACCATCATCATCACTATCACCACCACCATCACCACTCACCAACACCACCATCATCATCACTATCACCACCACCATCACACTCACCAACACCACCATCATCATCACTATCACCACCACCATCACCACTCACCAACACCACCATCAGCATCACCCCAGCTTCATCATCACCAACACCACCATCATCATCACTATCACCACCACCATCACCACTCACCAACACCACCATCATCATCACTATCACCACCACCATCACCACTCACCAACACCACCATCAGCATCACCCCCAGCTTCATCATCACCTACCACCATCATCATCACTATCACCACCACCATCACCACTCACCAACACCACCATCATCATCACTATCCCACCACCATCACCTCACCAACACCACCATCAGCATCACCCCCAGCTTCATCATCACCAACACCACCATCAGCATAACCAAATAACACCACCCTCACCACCACCACCACCACCAATGTACCACCCTCTCCAACACCACCACCATTAGCATCACCCCCGGCTTCACCATCAGTTATCACCATTAATAACACCCTCTCACCACCACCACCACCACCACCACCAATGCACCACCCTCTCCACCATCATCACCACCACCACCACCACCACCAATGCTACCACCACTCTCCCACCACCACAACCATTATCACCATTAATAACACCACTCTCACCACCACCACCACCTATGCCACCACCCTCCACCTCACCACCAGCTTCACCATCAGCATCACCATTAATAACACCACTCTCACCACCACCACCACCTATGCCACCCTCCTCCCACCACAACTATTAGCATCAACCAGCTTCACCATCAGCATCACCATTAATAACACCACTCACCACCACCACCACTGCCACCCTCTCCACCAACATCACCACCAGCTTCTCCATCAGCATCACCATTAATACACCACTCTCACCACCACCACCACCTATCACACCCTCTCCACCAACATCACATCAGCTTCTTCATCATCACCATTAAACCACTCTCACCACCACCACCACCTATGCCACCGCTCTCCACCATCATCACCACCAGCTTCACCATCAGCATCACCATTAATAACACCACTCTCACCACCACCACCACCTGTGCCACCACCCTCTCCACCATCATCACCACCAGCTGCACCATCAGCATCACCATTAATAACCACTCCACCCACCACCACACCACGTATGCCACCACCCTCTCCACCATCATCACCACCACCACCATCAGCATAACCATTAATAACACCACCCTCACCACCACCACCACCAATGCCACCACCCTCTCCACCACCACCACCACCAATGCCACCACCCTCTCCACCACCAATGCCACCACCCTCTCCACCACCACAACCATCAGCATCACCACCAGCTTCACCATCAGCATCACCATTAATAACACCACTCTCACCACCACCACCACCTATGCCACCACAACCATCAGCATCACCACCAGCTTCACCATCAGCATCACCATTAATAACACCACTCTCACCACCACCACCCTCTCCACCACCACCACCATTAGCATCACCACCAGCTTCACCATCAGTATCACCATTAATAACACCACTCTCACCACCACCACCACCACCACCACCACCACCTATGCCACCACCCTCTCCACCACTCTCACCACCACCACCACCTATGCCACCACCCTCTCCACCATCATCACCACCAGCTGCACCATCAGCATCACCATTAATAACACCACCATCATCACCACCAACTTTTCCTATATCCAGTAATGTGTAACGCGGTGTAATAGAGAACATGTTGTAGTATTGGTTGAACACAGTACAGGAGAGTAAAGGTTTTATGTGTACAGTCATCGGCCTTCATGTTGTTTATCTTCTCTATTATATTACACTAGTTATTTATGTAGTATTACATCTTAGCATCTAAAGTCTTTAATGAAGACTGTAGTTTAGGTTAGTACATACACTAATAATTAATCAACAAGTAAAAGATAGAGATTAGAGACAGAATATGAAGAGCCATTTGGCGTGACTGACTCAACAATGGAGTTGTTCGGGCGCTCACTCACCTTTTGGGATTGGTACTGTGTTGATTATATTACTGACTCGGTATTGGAGACAATTAGTATTGAACACTGAACGAGAACACAAAATAGACACTCATGTCACCACTGACTGGGTGTGACTAGTGAGGTTGTGTTGTGCTATCTGTGTGGATGTCTTCACATCCTCTCCCAAGAACGATTCTACTCCTAGCTCTTACACATATCTATGAGGCTATACAATAGAGGTTAAATCGCCTTGTAGTGTTGTTTTCCGGTGTAATATAGGCTGCCAACTCGTATATTTGGAAGGTCTTTGTGTGGTGACTGTGTTTAGTGTGTGGTGACCGTGTGTAGTTTGTGGTGACTGCGTGTAGTGTGTGGTGTGGGTGTGTCATGACTGTGTGTGTGTGTGGTGAGGTCACAGGTGTCCCCATTGTGTAACACCGTAAAAGGCAGTTATCACCATCGTTGTATCTACACAGGAAACCATAAATTTATAACGCTGAACGTCCCCACACCACACTACTCCTCAGGGCCAGATTAAGCCATGGTGAGGCTATTTTTTTTGTCTTTCTTTTGTAGAGAAAGGAAGGGTGAAAGAAGATTAGAGGTGGGGGAAGGAAGTTATAGTTCGGAAATTGAAGAATTTTAGGAGGAGGTAAGAGAGGGTGGGCTGACCGCCTAGCTAAGCTAATAGTGTGTAAATGTAAACAAAATGGCCGGCTAGGTGACACATACCTTACAAGAAATAAACATGAGAACGAACACACACACACACACACACACACACACACACACACACACACACACACACACACACACACACACACACACACACACATCATCCTTGACCACCGAAGTCAAGACGTACCTGGCGCTCCTCTCCAGAGCAGCCAGGTCAACTATTAAGTTGGCCCATACCAACTCCCTCCCTGAACCCTCCTCCCCACCGGAATATCAACAAGTTCACGCCAAGTTACTTCATTTAGGAAAGGAATGGAACCACTGTTAAACAGAGGTGAACAGTGGTGAACAGTGCTTAGTCAGTGAGAACAACTCAACAGTAACAGTGGTACCCAAGTTGACCTTCACACAGTGAGGACCCAGGTACCCAGTGATAACGGCCCGACAGAACCAGCGATGTGTTAATCCGTCTACGATAGGAAGGCCTGGGACCACACCTCACTCATAGAACACCGTCTGTGAGAACTACTACACCACGTGAGGCCTCACCATCTGTGAGGAATTACTACCACGTGAGCCCTCCTAACACCATCTGTGAAATTACTACACCACGTGAGGCCCTCATAACACCATCTGTGGGGAATTACTACACCACGTGAGGCCTCATAACACCATCTGTGAGAACTACTACACCACGTGAGGCCTATAACACCATCTGTGAGGAATTACTACACCACGTAGGCCCCTCATAACACCATCTGTGAGAACTACTACACCGTGAGGCCTCATAACACCATCTGTAGAGGAATTACTACACCACGTGAGGCCTCATAACACCATCTGTGAGAACTACTACACCACGTGAGGCCTCTAACACCATCTGTGAAATTACACCACGTGAGCCCTCCTAACACCATCTGTGAGATTACTACACCACGTGAGGCCCTCATAACACCATCTGTGAGGAATTACTACACCATGGGGCCTCTACCACCTCTGTGGGGAACTACCGTGAGGCCTCCTAACACCATCTGTGAGAATTACTACACCACGTGAGGCCCCTCATAACACCATCTGTGAGGAACTACACCACGTGAGGCCCTCATAACACCATCTGTGAAATTACTACACCACGTGGGGCCCTCATAACACCATCTGTGAGGGAATTACTACACCGTGAGCCACTAACACCATCTGTGAATTACTACACCACGTGAAGGCCCTCTAACACCATCTGTGAGAATTACTACACCACGTGAGGCCTCATAACACCATCTGTGAGGTACTACACCACGTGAGGCCTCATAACACCATCTGTGAGAACTACTACACCACGTGAGGTCCTCCTAACACCATCTGGGAGGGAGTTACTACACTACGTGTTTGCTGTTCAACACCTACATTAATCTGTATGTTCACTGTATGTTCCTTCACCTTTCTCTAATGAAGGCTTTGTTAAACCACCAATGTATGTAATAAGTCATTTATCCCAATGTATATTTTCCTTCGGGCTGCACCTTTCAATAAACCGTTAATTATTATTATTATTATTATTATTCACACACACACACACACACACAGTTTTACCATTATCACGAGACTATCGGCATACCTGGTCGGTGGCTGCCTCCTCCTCCTCCTCCTCACCTTGCTAATATGCTAATATGCTAATATGCTCTGGTATGTTCCAGTCTATTTAAGATATGCTCCCATCTATCTTAAGAGCTTATGCTAGGTGGTCTGATATGCTCCTCAAAGACTATGCTGATATACTCTTGTCATCTGATATGCCATTATGTTCATATCACTCTAAAGGATATACTAATATGTTCTGATATGTTGGTATGGTTCTGTCTCTCAGAGGGTGTGCTGATGTACTATAAGAGCATATGGGGTATGCTGATATACTTGGTTATGTAGCTAGGCTCATATCTCTCTTACAGGGTATGCTAATATACCTGATATGCTTGCATCTATCTCTGAGCGTATACTGGTTGACTGTAATGACATAAGAGATATGCTGGTATGCTTCTAAGGGAATATGTTAACATACTCTAATAATAATTTGAAATGAGGTTAGCTATACCTTAGATTCAGGGGATATACTGATATGATATGAATTAACCTAGAAGTATGATATGTTCTCAAGGCATTCAGGATCTGTTAGTATGCTTCGACATACTTTCGGAACAAGGTAAACTGGACCTTCAGAAGATAGGGTGATATGCTGACATATTCTGATGGATCTAGAGAGTGGAAGACTATGAGAGCTAGTTAATATACTCAGGTATGTTGATATCCCTTCATGGCACTTAGGATATATGGTATATTCTCCGATGTGTCTCTTTGGATATACTGATATGCCACTAATGGGTCCCCGAAAGCAGGAGACAAGTTGATCTGCTTCGAGGACACTAATCTGTATAATGATTTTCCTGACTGTTAGAAGTATACTGGTATATTTCAAATGTTGCTTAGTATTATAGTATACTTTGGGCTGTTCTGAACATATTTCACAGCTGATTTTCAGAAATATATGCTGCTGTCACTGGCTTGTTTATTCCGGAGACATTGATTATACTTTGAGTATGTTGATATGCTTTGTTACCAGTCAAGGAATATGCTCGATCTGGGGACTTTGTTATCCTGGGCTATTAGACTTTGTTATGCTCGATCTGGACTTTGTTATCTTGGGCCATTAGACTTTGTTATACTCGATCAGGGGATGTGTTATACTCGATTAGGGGCTTTGTTATACTGGACCAGGACTTTGTTATACTCGATCAGGGGCTTTGTTATACTCGATTAGGGGACTTTGTTATACTCGATCAGGGGACTTTGTCTTACTCGATCAGGGCCCTTTGCTATACTCGACCAAGGGACTTTGTTATAATCGATCAGGGGACTTTGTTATGCTCGATATGGGGCTTTGTTATACTGGGCCAGGGACTATTTTATACTCGATCAGCGGACTTTGGTATACTGGACCAGGGGACTTTTATACTCGATTAGGGACTTTGTTATACTCGATCAGGGACTTTTGTTATACTCGATCAGGAGACTTTGTTATACTCGAACAGGGGCCTTT